GGTGGATATGAGTTATCTCTAATTTGCATGTAGTTACAATTTTCATGATGAACTCAGGATATTTTTCTTCCAATTATAAATTAGAAGTTCAAACTATTTACAAAAAATATTTAATTTTTGATTAAATATTTTTTGTAATATAATTTATAATATAATTTTTTGTAATATATTTTTTGTAATATAATGTAAATATTTTTTGTAAATATTTAATCAAAATTAAGTAAATCTGTTAACCCTTTCCTTCCGAGGGTACCAATCGATCGAAACCCCCTATTGTTAAGCAAAATCACGAGGGCACTGGTTCGTTGGTAACCTAGTAAAAATCGATTTTTGTAAAATTTATCAACAACAGATGTCAGCACTTGTTGGCAGCGTCTTGCCTATCATCTGTTTCACATATTTTTGCCCAGATGGTGTTTTGTTGACTTAAAAAATTTTAATTAATGCTGTTTTTTCTAAATTTATTTTTTCTGATAATTTTTTATTCCATTTTTACATATTCATGCAATAATATTACTATAATAAGTTCATTCATGCTATAATAACTTAATGTGTTATAAATATTCAAGTTCTGACCTTCAGTTCTGACATTTTATATATTTTTTATTTTAATAAAATGAATGTGTGTGTGTGTGTGTCCTTCATGCATTACCACACCGTTTATCCGATTGCCATGAAACTTTGAGAAGTTGTTTAATATACTCCCATGAAGGTTTGTGGCATAGTATGATTGCCATGAAGCTTTGGGAAGTTTTTTAATACACTCCTGCGAAGGTTTCTGGCATTTACCCCATGATAGATGACATGTGTTTACACGAGCATTCGCGCACAGTGTATTTGATCGATTTCAAATTGTGAAGACCATTTTCCCCCTCCAAAAAATATCTCTATATATGCATTTATTATTTACGATATTTGTAATAATTTTTGTTTAATCACTTTACTTCAATTTTTTTTTTGCTAATTACGTAATCACTCAAACTTTGTTAAAGCCTTAACTGTATCATGAACAACAACCGAAGTTGTAGAAGGAAATTCGCCTATTTTACCAATCAAGGGATCCCCCTTTTCCAAATTTTAATATCAACTCAAAATAATTTAAAAAGACAAATTACAATAAAACGGTTTATTATCCAACTATGAGAAATTTCACAACACGCCAAGGAAGAGAGGAAGAAACAATTAAATAATCAAAATTATGAAGGATTAAAAAATATATATATAAAAATGGGGAATATTGCACTTCTAACAATCTCTGCGAGTATGTGGGCTAAATTTAAAGAATCCGTGCTTCTCGCTTGGACAACTGTATGTGGCCAACTCACGCGTCGGAAAACCTTTTGATTTATTCGTGTACGCACCAGACAGAAAAACAAAAAATATCGTGTATCCACAAAGCACTCCAATAAATAAATAGAATTGAAACAACACTTTGAAATGTTTTCCCAATGAAAATGAATAATAATAATAAGTTTCAATGAAAATGATAAAATGTAAATTTAATTTTATCATAATGAGTTTGCTTGAATTTCCTTTCTTCTGAGATCGCAGCAATGCGTGACAAGTAAGCTAGTTTTAATATAAAATATCAGCAAATGTTACATGTATTACTACTGGTAATCATATGTTTATTACAAAAATTTATATTCTTGTTCAATATGAAGTAAATAAAGTATATTAGTTCATTATATTAATTGATAGCAGAATGAAGTTTTGATTTTAAACAAATGTTTGATATAATGTGCAATAATTTCACAACAAATAAATGTACATGCATAAGTGTTATATAGAGTTGTACAAAACAATATTCTACGTCTTTCTGGCTCAATGCCAGCAAAAAACTAGGTAACTAGACAATGTTAATTTTGATATAAAGTTACAAATTATCAAGTTTAAATGTCAGTTCTGATATATTATTTTTTTCTTATAAATTTTTCTAATAAAATGTATTGACAAATATCATATTTAAAACTAACAATACTAATAAATATACATGATTTTTTTCATACGAATATAATGATAATTTGATTTTTGGTAAATTTTTAAAATAATATTGCATGACTGACCTATACTGCCTTAGGACAGTTTACAAAATAAATGTAAACAAGATGGCAGTGGTAAAGGATTAAAATAAGAATAAACAAATAAAAATGTTCTTAGTGTAAGCTCTAGTAACAACTACACAAATTATGTAATTGTATCAAACGCTAGCTTCGCATCCTCATCAACCACAAGCATGGCCACTAGCCAAATAATAATCACGAGTTTTTGAGTGACCTGATAAACGATATGGACACCTTCAACCAATTTGTACAACTCATAATAACTTAACTTCTAGGTAATATGTAATTCAGACTGTATATACTGTATAGTCTCTCTTCCTGCTAATGCTATTACATTGTATTGGCATACTTATCAGTACTGTGTACTTTATTCTTTGTATTCTGTTTTCACCATTTATTCATTGTATATTATATGCTCTCCATTGTATACGTATTGTTGCTCAAGTATCAACAATTAATTGTGAGTTCATATATGCTTATTCATTCTATAACTGTATTTGCCTATTCTACGGTTATATTGTCACGTTTTATTCCTTTGTAAATTCCATGTACCGTATGTGCAATAGTACATACAGTGCATGGAATTTGCAAAGCAATGGGCATTGTATTCACTAATTGTCCATTTCTTACTGTATCCACTTCAAAGTTTATATATTATCCGTGTTTACATATTTATGTGAAATTGTTTATTTGCAATCCATTTTCTGTAACCCATGTCCAGCTATGCCTAGTGGTGCTGGACATACATCTTTATGCATTAATAAAATAATTGAATTGAATTGTATCAAACGCCACCTAATGGCAACATATGTAACTATTAGGTTATTCGGAAAGTAATTTTGTTTTTTTTACCACTAGACAGATTAGTCGTATTTTTTCTGCCATTTTTATTCTAAACTGTATTAAATAATCATTATATATTTTGACAGCTAGCATTTTAAGGCTTATTTGTAAAAAAATTTTGTTTGATTTTATGCAATTGTTTATTTTTTGTGTCCCATCAAATATGGAAGATTGAAAGCAGCATTTTCGGCATATTTTGCTCTTTTATTACCAAAAAGGTAAGAATGCTGTTCAAGTGAGAAAAAAATTGTGTGACGTGTATGGGGAAGAACGACAGTGCCAAAACTGGTTTACAAAATTTTGTTCTGGCAATTTCAATATTGAAGATCCACCACATTCTGGATGGCCAGTTGAAGCCAATAAAATAAAATAAAAGGTACTGATTGAAGCAAACTGCCGAATAACAACATGTGAAATCACTAAGAGATTAAATTTGTCAAACTGAACTGTTTATGATTACTTGAAACAAATTGGTTTCATTTCAAAGCTTGATATATGAGTTCCACATGTTCTTAAGGAGAGATGCTATCTTTGGTGGGATTTTAAGAAAATTTTTTTTTTGGAACTTTTACTAGACAATTTAACAATTGATTCGAAAGTGAACTGCCATCAAGTAAACAAATTGAGTAATATCATCAAACAGAAAAGGCCAGAATTGATCAACAAAACAGGTGTAGTGTTTTACCATGATAATGTCAAATTTCACACAAGTTTGTTAACTCGTCAGAAACTGTTATAACTTAGATGGGACGTGCTATGGCACCAACCATACTCTCCAGATCAAGCACACTCAGATTATTACTTGTTCTGGTCTATACAACTTTTTTTAACTGTAAGACATTTACTTGAAATGACAATGTCAAAAATCATTTGGATCAGTTTTTTGTAAGCAATGATAAAAACTTTTATGAATGTGAAATCATGCTATTACCAGAAACGATGACAACAAATATTTGGCCAAAATGGTCGATAAATAATTCAACAAAATATTTATTTACAATAAAAATATTTTTTTTTTCCAAGGAAAAAAAAAACAAAATTACTTTCCGAAAAACCCAATATTTTGGTACTAAAATTTTTATTACAAAAAAATTTCGCTTCTTTCTAAGCATTTCTGTGAAAACTGCATCATCTTACTGTAAATAATTTGAGTTCTTAATTTTTTAAAATTTCTGTGACTTTTGAATCACCCTGTACATATGGTTACTCAAGAACTTAGTCTATGAAATGGCACATATGCAAAGAAAACAATTGGATGGTCAGCAAAGTAACATATGACCTAAAGACACATCCCGACAAAATGCTGTTCCCTATCTTAAAGTGATAGCCTATAAATGTTCCATGCACTTTTTATATAAGGAGATTGGATCCTATGTAGGTGCAGGAATCAAGTATAGATGAAAACCCTATGCATTCAAGCTTTTATGTAATAAGAAAGACTAGACTAACAATTACAAAGCACCAAGGGTCTATAAAATACTACTTAGGTTTAGAGGTTTTCCAGAAAATAGTTTTAATCAATTTTACAAAGAGTTCCCTTAAACAAAGCTAAACAAACTTAAACACATTCTTGAACATAGATATGATATAGATAAAAAGAGACAAATCACTGCCTATCTATGCATGACAACAACAACAATGTTAAACCCAAACCATAACAAATGACTATTATATAAAAAAAACACCCCATACTGAACAACTCAGAGCCTTGAAAGGTCTGTAAATCTTTAAAGCAAACCTACATAAGATACGCATCAAGTTTAAAAAAGAAATCTCAAAACAAATCTTCCACATATGACAGGCCATATTTGACTTCTCATTCCATATAATGTGCAGCACATAAACCATTTGTGAACACACCCCATTGGATGCTTTTGAATTTTAAATCTGAATTTATCTATAAATTGTCTGAGCATTCCATTTGAGAACAATATAGGTAGAAAAGTTTTATTTCTTAAATGTTTAGCCAGAGGAAAGTCTTAGAAGTGGAGCAAAAATGTTTGTAACAGTTTGTGTATATATTTTATGTTTTGGCCTTGTTATTAGAAAATTAATTTGGTTTTATAATTTAAATAGTTAAAAATATATACTTACTTAAATAATGCATAGGCAAAAGATTTTTGAAAATATATCTCTAACATATTACAATAAGTTCTCAGTGGTTCTTTATCAGATTCCACCTCAGATTCTTCAGATCTTGGCTCAGGAGTAGACTGTTTAGTACATCCATTATTATATGTATCATTCCTAAATGTACCAGAGTTATCATATCCTAAATGTTCATCATCTATCTTGAATGTAATATCATGATATAGATCTTTCCAGTGTTTATCTTTATTATGGTAGACTAATTGGTTAACTAAGCTATTTAATGAACAGTTATATACATATATTGGCAATGTTATAGAACCAAACATTTCTGAATGAGAAGAATAATTTCCTGTACTATTTACAAACATATCCTCTTCATTTGATTTAGAAATATTTAATTCCTCTTCTATATTGTTACTTTTATCTTTTGATTTAATTACCATATCTATAATTTCAGTTTCTTTCCAATTTAAAGAGCTCACAATTTTAACTGATTTTGGTGGAAAATCATAGGAGCTAGATTTATCAAACACAAGATTTTTTAAGTCTTCAAATGTTGCAGGAATAAATGTCAAAAGAACATGACTTGTTTCCACATTTTTAACAAAACACCTCCATTTTGGCACAGAATCTAATTTTACTTTGTTTCTTTCTCCTGGAAATTTATAATTTGAATCAATATGAAGTTCAGATGGAATATTAGGACAATGAAATGGGATAGAATATTCATTCCAATTCCGTTCTCTTTTGTGCACTAACCATGGAAATATGGCCATATCACTGCTTGAGAGGTTTATTTCTCTGTCATTTATTTCAATTATGCAGTCCATAAAGAATTCAAATAAATATTGATTTGGAAGTTGATCATTTACTTGCTTCATTGAACTGTTGGCTAAACCTACAAACAGTAAAATCTATATTAATAATTTAAATATTTTCATAATAATTATATTTGAAATTTAATTTAAATTTTATTTTTATCTCAACAAATATGTAACATGGTTAAATTATTATTATTATTTTTGTAGATTTTATCTAGAAAAAAACCTTCAAAATATATTTGCTTACATTTAAACAAAAACAAATTATTATAATCCCCTAACATATTAAGTAAACTTAACATGAAACAAACTGTACTATTATAATATTTGATACAAAATCAATAATTTAACTTAAGAAATTTCTCTATTCATTTAAAAAACTATTAGTTATAAATATAATATATACTTTATTTTTAGATTCCTTAATATTCTAATGAGTTAAACTTTTGTTGTTTTGAACTTTTTAAACTAGTCACAAATTCTATGCTTAAAACAAATTATTTTATTTGCTGTTTCTTTTTATATTATGACAACAAAATGCATTTTGAGTCTACATATAAAACATCCCTACAAACCCGATGTAATGCAATAACTCACCAACAACTGCCGTAAATCATCGGGCTATAATTTGGAATAAATAATTATAAATTACAAATGAATTTGTAGCAGAAGTTTAGGTTCGAGTCCTGCTTCAGGCTAATTATTTTCTTCCAGTTTAATCTAAATTATTTAATTAAATATTTAATTATTAATTTTAATACCACCTAACACCTCCCTCTAGTGTCAAATTCATTGGTAATTATTAATTAATATTTCCAAATTATAGCCCAATTATTTATGGCAGTTGTGGGTGTCTATCTTCATTATAGATTTCATAAAAACTAGCATTCAGTAAGTTTAATTAACAATAAATATTTAAAATAAATTTTTTTTATAATGTAAATGTGTTGGAAGCTATATTATTAGATGATACTGTATTAACCTGTAATTACATGCAGTTTTTATATATTTTTTTTACAGGATCACATGCAATTTTCCACTAATTTTTCACATGTAATTGCTATTCCTCAAATTTGATAATTCTGAAAAATTCTGTACTGTTGTCTTTTCTGTATATGCAAAATTTCAATGTTATACATTGTTCAGTTGTTTATGATATATTGTTTTGTTTATGGATCAATGTCCTTGACTGGACTNAGATGGTGCCTAACACCTCCCTCTTGTGCCAAATTCATTTGTAATTTAGAATTATTTATTCCAAATTATATCCCAATAATTTATGGCTGTTGTTGGCAAGTTATTGCATTTTGGATCTTTCTGATTCTTGTTCAATCATCTTTTTTATGATATTAATTATATACATATTCATTTCTTATCTAAAACACTGTCTAGTTTTTCAAAGACCTCTAAGTAATTTTTAAAAATCTTTAAGACCCTGAAATGCATTTTGTTGTGAATAATGTAAAAAAGAACTTCCAATAAAAGTGATCCTATTTTTAAGTCTAAAGATTTTAAATGGTTTAAATAAGTTCAGTAAGCAAAAGTTTAAAGTCATTATAAAATTATATAAATAAAATATATTTATTGAATAGAAAAGTAATAAATTTAATATTTAAAATTATTGAATTAACTATTTAAAATTTATGAAATCAAAATTGAAAAAATATGTCATATAAAGAAATAATCAAGAGATAAATAGATGAATATTTTCCTAAACTTTTTTTTATATATTTTTTAATTTTTTTTTAAAATCTCACAGAAGTGATTGTATAGCATTCCCATAAACAACAATTTCTATTAAGATCAGTTGATCACAAACATCTGTAGCCAAAAGTGATTTGACATCATAACATATTTCATCATCAATCATCAAAATGTTTTTTATTAAAAAGTTTTTAAAAATCCATTTTTCAGGTCACTATAATGAGTTCTAATAAGCTTAATAGTTATACATTTAAAGATTTAATGGCAATAAACTTTTACTTACATCTCATGCCAATTCTTCAACACACTAAACAGACTGTCTTTCAGCATTGATAGATTTTTTTATTAAATAAAAGATACATGCAAGCAATTTCAATGTATTTTATCATCATCAGAAAAGAATTCTGTTTTAAAAAAAATTTTGCTTAGATTTAATGGTATTTAACGGTTTAAACTGAATGGAAATTTCTTCTAGATTAGAGATTTAGAAGAAATTCTGTTTAGATTTAATGGCAGAAATCATATTTTAAATGTATTTTCTCTGATTTAAAAGAAATTCGGTTTGATATTTCTGTTTTAAAAAAAATTTCTTGTCTGATAAAAGTGAAAATACATCATTAAAGGTGCTTACATGTCTCTTTTGTTTTAAAAAAAGATATTAATGTTGAAAGATAGTCTTTTTAGATTTAATGGCAATTATCTCTTAACATTAGTTTTAGATTAGATTTTTTTTTAAGATTTGTTGTAACTGAATCAAAAATAAGATTATAAATACTGAACATATTAGTAAAATTGTTAGGTACTTAAAAAAATTATTTTTTAAGTAATTAATAATTAAAAGAAATAATTTGAAAACATACCTTTTATCATATAATTGATAATTTTCTAAGAGAGAGTTTATTATAAGAATCAATAAATTAATGTTAAGAATTTGTAAGTATATACAGTAGAGCCTCGATTATCCGACCTCCGATTAACCGACACCTCGGTTAACCGACCGTCCTAGTCGGCAAATTTCAAATGTCCGCTAGTGATGTGGCACTACAATATTTGGCTATGTCTTGCCTACTTTAATATTATTTTTACGTGTTTTAGCTGGCAACACTCATTCGACCATGAAAGGGAGCCAGTATTTAAACGAAGCTTAATTTTCTAATTTTTAACGATACAATAGCGACGATTATTATTTTAAAAAATTTTTGTTAGGCTTAACATCGATGAAAATTCAACGCAAAATAGGTTAATAGCGATATACTAATATACTAATTACATGGGATATAATAATATACTACACTAATAATGGATTTTTTCATANTGATAACATCGGAAATGACGTTCTAACATCATTTTATTTTATTTGATTCTTCAAAAAATCGTTATAATACTATGTATTAGACTTAGAATATTCGATATCTAAACCAGAAAGTGTTAGCTAGAAATAGACTTATTTATAGAACAACCCCCCATTTCTAACCTCAGGGAAAGTCATAAAACGGTTGGGTGCTAATGATTTTGTGAAAGGGAAAAAGTTTTACACTTAGAAACTTCGAAAGAAGGGATTTGGCCTGTACCGTCCGCGGGCCGCATAAACATTGATAGGGGGCCGTATGTGGCCCGCGGGCCGCAGGTTGTGCACCCCTGCTAATGCTTAATAAAATCAAATCAGAATTCTCAACTTAACACCAGAGTGATAATCAGGGATGATTATTTTATAAAAGATAATATTATATACACTCTAGACATTAACAATAATGAGTTTATAAAAATTAATTCTTTTTTGGAACAAATTACCAGGTATATGCAGATAAAGCAGTAATATCAACAAATGAATCGACCAATATCCATAATAATCATCCAAATAATAATAATAATTATTATAAAACTGAAAAGAAGTTTATCTCAGAAAGATTTAGGTATCTTCAAAATAACAAAATTAACCATGAGATAAAGCTGAACAACCTTGTGATTATTTTTTGGAATTGTCAAGGTCTCAAAGGAAAAACTCAAACATTAACAAAAAATTTCATATACTCAAATACAATTATAGGTTTGACTGAAACTTGGATAGAATATGATAATTTTCCAGATAAAAGCTATCTAGAACAAGATAATATTTTAGTGTCCAGCAATTTTCATCGTATAAGCAAATTTGGGTGCCCTTCGGGAGGCATTCTCCTAATTATAAAAAGGAATTTTGGTGAAATAATATATCAAAATACAACAATATACTATATACTAGTGATAATTAAAATTAACAAGCAAGTTAAAACAGAGTGGAATGAAACTTATTTAGGAGTAATTATCTTCAGATATTGGAATGAATATTCTATCCCATTTCATTGTCCTAATATTCCATCTGAATATATCTTCCACCTGCTATTAAAAAGAAACTGATATTTAATGAAATCCAACACCAAATTGATAGATGGGTCTTTTTGATACACAGTTGGTTAGTTGAAGGAGACTTCAATTCTAGAATTGGTGAGGTGATGGACACAGAGATACAATTGAATTATGAAAATATTAATAACATCAGACAGTCCAAAGATAAAATGTTAAACTGTGAAGGCAAAATACTAATAGAATTTGTTCAAGAAAACCAATTTTTTATACTAAACGGAAAAATAAAGGGTGATATCCCCACAGAGTACACTTATGTATCTCATAATAAAAAATCGATAGTAGATTTCATGATATGTTCCCAAACCTTGATTGAACATTGTCAGATCTTAAATGTATGTGATGAAGACACCTCGGACTATTTTCCTATACAGTTCATGCTGTCTACTAAATTGTATACAGAAAAATATATAAAAAATGAGAACAAACTGAAATTCAGAAAAGGTGACTTTAAAATTGATAAAACAAAATGGTTAAATAAAATAGATTCTATAACAGCTGAATTAATAAGGCGGGAAGATATAAACAAATTGATTGATAATTATCAAAAATTGGTATCTAAAATAGTAGAATGTTGATTGAAGTGAAATTATTATGTCTCTAAATCAAAATACAAAAACAATTGGTTTGACAACTCTTGCTATCAATATAAAATTAAAAAACAAAAAGAATTGAGAATATTCAGAGAGACAAATACACCTGAAGCACTGGCAAACTATCTGAAGAGCAAAAAACTTTATGTTAATTTAATCAAAGCTAAAAAGAAATTATACATGACCAACATTAATAAAACATTGATTGAATCAAGAGATACAAGAATCTTTTGGAAGATTATTAACAACTTTCATAAACCTAAATTGGACCTTTTAAATAAAAAAACAATCAAATATGGAATGGATAAAATATTTCCAGGAATTCTCGCAGATGTATCTACATAATCAAAGGAATACAGTAGAGCGTCGATTTTCCGAAAGTCAATCATCTGAAACTTCAATCATCCGAAAGAATTCCAGTCGGCAAATTTAAATTTTCGCCAGTGCTGTGGCGCTTCAAACTTTGGCTATGTCTTGGGCTACTCAAATATTTTACGTTTTTGATACTAAATTAACATCTGAAGTATAATTTTTTATTATTTTTATATTTTTCAATATATTTATTTTGTTTGTACAAAATAAAAAAATAATTTTTAACGATACAATAGTCTTTGTTAGGCTTAACATCGACGAAAATTCAATGCAAATGACATGCAACGGAAAAAAATTTCGAAATCGGATACGTTAAACTATTTTTTTGTACGTAAATCAGTTATCCGAAATATCACTTATCCGGACAACCCCAGTCCCCAATTGATTCGGAAAATCGACGCTCTACTGTATTTGCAAGCTAGATAAAACAGTTTATCAAATCAATCAGGATGAAATAATAAGCATAGAAGAAGTGCAAAAACGTATTAAGTCTCTGAAAATTAAATCGGCTCCAGGATCAATTGTATACCTAATTCTTTCATTCAATTGTTGCCTTATAAGTTGATTCAATATATAACAAGATTATTTAACAGTATTTATTCCTTTGGTATTATTCCAACTAATTGAAAGGAGGTAATTTTTATGATGATTTATAAACAAGGAAACAAATATGAACCTTCAAATTACAGACCAATAGCCTTATTATCCAGTTTCAGAAAACTATTCACTGCAGTACTAGCAGAGAAATTCAAACAGTGGATTGAAGTGAACAATTACAAGAATCCCACAAAATATGCATACATGGATAATGGAGGTACTCAAAAATCCCTGTTTATTTTGCTGACAATAATTCAAATACAGTTATTAAAGAAGAGGAAGAAAGTTTATGCACTTTTCCTGGATTTATCTAAAGCATATGATTCAGTCTATATAAAGTTGCTACAAAACAAATTAAATAAACACAATGTAAGCTATTACTTCGTTAAGATGATTGGTCAATTATATGGTAGCTATAATGTGATTATTAACCAAAACAACGTATGCTGGAATTCTTTTACAACTAGCAGAGGACTATTACAAGGAGATCCCCTATCTCCTTTTCTGTTCATTTCTATTTATTTGATTTAAACAATTGTTTTTTGAAGGAAGATGATAAAATATTTATTGACAATGTATGTATCCACTCAATTTCATATGCAGATGACATAATAATATTTGCACTTATTCCGGAAAAATTAAAAAGTATAATCATACAGATAACTGAATACCTAAATAATCTAAAGGTTAAAATAAATTCTAATAAATCAGAAATTATGATTTTCAGAAACGGAAATAATCTTTCAAAAAAAGATAAATCTTTTTACATAAAAAATGAAAAAATTAAAATTGAATAATTTTAACATTTAACTTATCCTTCTGCAAAACATAGTATAAACATAGTACAGTAGAGTCCCGAAAACTCGGCCTAATGTGGACCGAAGGGTGGCCGAGCTTGTGAAAATGCCGGGTTATCGGGAATGGGGTTAAAAAAAATAAGTATGAGTGTTTCCTCAGAAAATACTGTACTGTACTTGTATGTATTGTTTGCATGAGAATACAACAGAGAATAAAATGCCCAAATACCTTTAAACAAAGGAAAAGTACATACTTTATGAAGGCATAGAGCCTTTACTACATGAAAATGAAAATTAATGAATATGCAGTGTACAGTAATTTACCTGATAAGACAGACCTCAGAAAAATACTTTATGAGGCATAAAGCTGTCTATAATGAAAATTAACTAGGGTTTTTTTCGCCCTGCCAGGGTTTGGCTGAGTTATCTGAACTGCCGGGTTATCGAGTGACGAGTTTTCGGGACTACTGTATAACTAAATCCAGAAATCTGATCAGCAATCTGTTAACTTTATGCTGTAAGGAAAAAATTAGACATATTACAATGCATTTTCAGTTGTTTAATACAATTGTAATAAATGCATTATGTTATGCTGCCCCAATTTGGAACCTAAATAGTTTTTATGAATTAGAAAAAATACAGAATATTTTTATTCGAAAAATCTTTCAGTTGGAATATATTATACCAGGAAGAGCACTCTGGCTAGAACTCAATAAATTTAAACTGAATACAATTTTGATTAAAAGATATATTAATTGGTTAAGGAAAATAATTAATGCAGAGGATTTGTCAACCAGACTAATTTATTTATTGTATAATAAATCCAAGAATAATAACACGAAACAAAATTGGATCACTCAATTATCAAGAATTTTCAACATATATGGTTTTTCTGTAGAACTGGTGTTTGATTATATTATTAATTAATTAATAATGACCAACGGATTAATCAACTGTTATGTAAAGCAATGGAACACTCAATACTCCAGGATAATGAAGACATACAAAAAAGAAAAAATAACACACATTACAAATTATTTTTAATTATCCAGTTATCAACAATTATATGCTTTTAAACCTGCCATTCAATGTAAAGAAATTTTTTGTTCAACTACGACTAAATCAGAAAGGTTTAAATATTGGAAATAAATATATAGATTATGATCAATCTAGATGCACTAAGTGTAGTAAAAAATTATCAAAATTTCATTTAATTTTTGGATGTAACAGAAAAAATAAACAAGAGCTAAATATTATTGAGCAATATGGATATAATCAAAAGATGATAATTGANACATAGCTTTACATTAAATTTAATAAGAAAAATTTAGCAAATGCATTATATTCTTTGTTTAATTATTAAAATCTTTCTGTACTTCTTCAAATTAATGAGCAATATGGATATAATCAAAAGATGATAATTGATATGTACAGTAAAATGGACAAAATGAATATTAATGACATTTATAAGTTATATAATAAGATAAAAAATAATAATATGTATACTGATAGTTAAGTCTAGTCAATCATTATAGTAGATAATCATAAAAAGTTAATGTTCATCTAGAACCTAATTCATGTTAAAATGTTAAAATTGTATAATTAACCCCCTTGTAACAGGCTATTGCCTAGTATGTTAATAAACATTTGATTGATTGATTGATTATCTTTTGCATTAAATCATATTATAATTTTGATCATTCTTTTGATTATACAATATAAAAATAATTAATTATATTGATTTGATATATAATAAAAATATATTGTTTTCATATTTTTAATAAATTGCAATAATAATAACATAGCTTTAGTCTTTTAAAAAATAGTACAGAAAAATGTTGCAAATGTCACATAAATTATCACATTTATTAGAACTGAAAAGATAAATTTCTTTAAAAGAAAATTAATTAGCAGTTTATTTACCTTGAATAAATGTAGAAAATAATAATTCCATTTGTTGACATTTAGAAAGTATTTTCATAATATCATAAGAAAATGGTATTATTTGTATGTTTGTTTCATATGATGGTGAAATTAATAATGTTTGAGACATCAATATATCTGGTGTTGATCTAGCTGCAGAAAGAAAAGATTGATGCATATCTGTAGTAAGTGGTGTAGCTGATGAAGTATTATCAGCATCAAGTGCAAAAGGTGATGACATATTTCTGTTCTTGCACAAAAGGCTCAAATGTTCTATTGTAAGAAAGCATGATACACAATCCAGATCTATAGGAAACATCTAAAATATATAAAAAGAATAATTTTAAAAACAAAGTAAAAAATAATAAATTTATATAAGTAACTTAAAGTACTTTAATATAAATAAATAAATAAAAGAGAGAGAACATACAAAAGCTAATAAAAAAAACAAATAAGTGATAAACACATCAATAAACCAAAAATTCAGAAGTTTAAACTTGTATTTTAATGTAAAAATGAGCATTTTCAGTTGTCTTAAATTGTTTAAGACAACTGGAAATGCTCATTTTTAAACAAGTTTAAACTGCTGTATTTTAGGTTTATTGGTATGATTAGTACAGACATCTAGTTCTATGATACAGTAGACTATGATAATATTTTGTTTAAATTTTAATTTTTAATACTTTTATTATTTAGGATAATTGTTAAAACTGTATATCAATTTTAATCAGCATGTCAACAAAAATTTTAAAATATTTATTAAAAAAAGTACAATTCATTTAAAGTGCATATATAGGTTAGACAAATTTATCCAATAAAATGATTGTAAAGTATTTGTTTTTCTTGTTTATTAAAACATTTGAAGACTTCACATATCATAGATTTCTATCAGCAAATACAAAAAAACAAAATAATAATAGTAATTTATCTTGATATAACTTTTTTAGATTGAAAATTATCTTTAAAAATAAACTTCTCATTTTGTGCATTTATGAAATTTAATGAGATGATTTATAAAGAATACATCCTTATGTATAATGAATAATCAGTCTTTCAGTGAAAACTGTGCAAAATTACAATAAAAACAAAATGTTTAATTGTTCACATATTTTTCCATTAAATATGAATTAGCATTGTCAGGAACAAGTTGATAATATTACAAAAAGGACCAGAAATTAAATTTAGTTTTTAAATGTTTAAATGAAATATAACAAATTAAACTACAGTAGAGCATCAATTATCTGAAACAATTCAGGACTGGGGTTGTTTGGATAACTGATCATTTACAAAAAATATCTTAAACACAAAACTGTACTGTATATAATTTGTATCACACGTCTTACAAATACATACCTTACATAATGTAATACATTAAACTAGGACTACAGTTCAGTTTGGCAGGGAGGGGAAGAGTGCTGCAATGCCAAGGCTTAGCAGAAATTTGAATTTGCCGACTGGAATTCTTTTGATTAACCAATGTTTCGGTTGATTAGTATTCAGATAATCGATGCTCTACTGTATTTAATTTTTTACTAAACATTTTATTTTGACAATGCCATTTAAACATTTAATTTTGTTGTATTGTGTCATATCATTGAAGAGATTTAAAAACAAATTTAATTTCTGTTAATTTTCTAAAGCAATTTTATCAACTCATTCCTGACAATATCAATTTTTATTTAATAAATAATACATAAGCAATTAAACATCTTTTTAAGTTTTATAAATTTTTTATTACTTAATACTAGAAGAAATTTAGTCATCATCCATTTCATATCCCTGCCAATAAATTACTTTTTAATGTTCAATTATATTCAACATAGCTTTACATTAAATTTAATAAGAAAAATTTAGCAAATGCATTATATTCTTTGTTTAATTATTAAAATCTTTCTGTACTTCTTCAAATTAAGAAAACATTTCAATAAATCTGACAACAAACTTTTCATTTGATTAATTTTATTTGAATGTAAATACAGGCTTTATTGAAGTTTCTAAAAAGTATATAAATATTTACTTTTTAATCTAAGTGCTTTAGTTTTACAATTTATCTTCAGTGTAAAAACTTCAAAATACATTTGAAAGAATAAAAATATAAATAAAGAATGAACTTTCATTCTATATGGAATATACTATTTTTTCATAAAATATTTACATCTGTGTCTTTATTTATTCTATTCTAATGCTAATACATCACTGCTAGAAAAATTTATATTAAGTTCTTCAAGCTCAAATGTTAGACTTTGCTATATTTTATTGTCAACTGCAAATCACCTAACAGCTAAGTGATACTTCATGGATCAAAAAGATGCTATAAAAAAGTATCTAGTTAATGAATTGACAAATTTTTGGAGTCAGTTCCAATATTCTGTCATCAAGAGTTTGAGACCATAAATAATCACAATTAATGTCATAAAAATAAACGTTTAAACACATCAGGAAATTATATGGAAAAATAATATGCACCAAGAGTATATTAGTCACCAATTGGTATACAATATATTAGAAATTGAATTATATGAGATATCTTTTTACCTTATTTATTGAAATATTCTTCAATTAAGTCAAAAAATAATTATACTATTAAACATTAAAAAGTAATTTATATTATGTTATAGTAATATTGTATTCTTTCCTTTGCATTACTTATTTATTTCATAGCATAATACAAAAACTGAAGCAAATTCAGATGAAATTCAAACAAAAGGTTCCATTAGAACAATGAATGTGAAAGCCTAAAGATGGCCTATCCAAATAGGCTGAAAACGTTTGGAATAAAAAAAAACTCGGCAAATATAATCGTGTGTTTAGTAGTATAAGTAACTAATATTGCTGAGAAGATAGATAGATGAAGCATATTCTTTAACCCAATTATTAACTCAAATATATTAAATCAATTATTAAGTTAATAATTATTATTTTTTGGCAGTTGTATATAGAAACTTTTAAAAATTAATACAATTTAAATAAAAATAAAAATATTTTAAAATTAATATATAAGANGATGGAGCTAGGTATATGCAGACCATCAAAGTCCAACTGGGCTTCTCCCCTCCATATGGTGCTGAAGGGCTATAACGATTGGCCTGGATACTGGAGACTATCGGGCCCTCATATTACATTACATTTTAACAATAACTGATATTTTATCACAAATAAAAAAACAAAGTTTTTTCTTATATAAATAAACTGACTTGAATGATATAACTTCAGATTTTTTTCTGAACTCAATGTGTTGAGCTACCAACATAATAACCTACAGTATAATCCCAAAAATACAGTCTTAGACAAAACCAAGAAATTAAGTAATAATTTACAACAGTAAACTAATATACTGTATAATTTATCATGCTTTATTTCAGCATAATCAAAGTTAATCAACAGCCTAAAAAATATAACACTTGCATTTTTTCCATTTAATTTACTAAATATAATTCCTTATATAGTCTCTTATTTAGATCTAGATAAAAGTATTTAAATCTCTATCAATTTTAACTTTCTATTTACATCTATACAAAACACAGATTAAAAACCTATATTATCTTCTCTCTATGGTTATTAGATATGCAAAAATCTTACAGATTTACAACTACTAATGAGAGAGTCATTATAATTTATGTATAATAACTATTTTGTCTATTCTGACAATATCATCCCCAAAACCAGAGATTCTAACAAAATCATTTCTCCTCACCTGCTCTTGTTACACTTTTTAAATATCTTATGAGAAGGTCATAAAAGGAGAGAAACTTTTGTTTCATTGAATCTTCTGGTTTTTTCTACTTGGGTTTTTTTTGCTTTTATAGTTATACCACTCAACTCTTTCATTATTTTAATTTTGCACTAGAATTCTTTCTTCCTCAAACATTTACACATTTACACAACAAACCTTATATTGTTACATCTGAAATATACTATAAATAGCTATTACTACTACTATTACTATCTCCGTTAAAAAATACAAAACAATAATACATTTGAAATTGCTAGTCTATCTCAATTTCACAAATTGCTTTTCTGTTCATTAACTTCTTATTCACTATAAGTAGTACACTATTTTGCATTGTATTAAAAAAAAACAAAGTTCTCCAAAGTCAAGTTCACCCATTTTTTTTCAAAAAAAAAATAATAATAATAAAATACACTTTACTATTCACCATAACTTTGTAAANCTTTTCTGTTCATTAACTTCTTATTCACTATAAGTAGTACACTATTTTGCATTGTATTAAAAAAAAACAAAGTTCTCCAAAGTCAAGTTCACCCATTTTTTTTCAAAAAAAAAATAATAATAATAAAATACACTTTACTATTCACCATAACTTTGTAAATATTGCACTTTACTGAAATTGAACAGTTTACCAAAACATTACTCATTTTATAATCTGATATATCTTAAATTTCCTTACAAAATCAATGGCATGATCAAGTAATTTTTTAAAATATTACCATATTTACTTGCATATAAGACGATCTTGCATATTAGACGAGGTGTAACTTTAAATATCAAGATAAAGATTTGTGGCCGCCAGTGCCAGAGCACTGTCTGGCAACACTTGCCAAGATCCCGAACACTGTCTGGCAACACTACCTGGACTTTCGACTGAATTGGATAGCAAACAACTCTGTGTCTATGATGGAACTTCTTTTAACAGGACATGCAGGTATGATCAGTTTCTAAATCGTAAATTCAATAGGAAGACTAGGAGTACATGACTCAGGCTAAGCCTAATCCAAGACTATCCCGCTTTCCTTGTAGCCGCATAATTAAGCACCTGGAATGGCGGAACAGAACAAGTTGGAAATCGGACGTGTACAGGCAAAAATGCCTATCTTCACTAAAACCAACATCAAATTATTTTTTGTGCAGCTAGACGCGGCTTTTGCCATTAATCGGATTACAAGTGAGAACACTAAGTACTACTATTTAATCAATTCTCCGGACGCGGAGATTCTATTTAATGTTAGTGACTTAGTATTTGACTGTTTAGCCGAGGCCCCATTTTCTAAACTTAATTAAAGATTGACTCCTCAAAATTTTCCAGAACTTCGCTGCTAAAGAGGCTAAAATTTTGCTTGAAGATCTAGCGTTAGGGGATCAGAAACCCAGCGTTTTACTCCGTAAAATGAGGGAGCTTTCAGCGGGCAAGATTACCAAAGAATTTCTTAGAAACTTGTGGCTCCAATGCCTCCCCCAAAATATTCAGACCATTCTGGCTGTTAGCGGTGATGAACTAGACAAGCTGGCCATCCTTGCTGACAAGGTTGCTGAACTTATAGAACCAGCCCAACTGTACAGCATCAACTTAGAAGCCGAAA